GGGCTCTGTGGCGGTGGTGCGGTTGACGGAAATGGTTGGAGCAATGGGAAGTGGTAGTGGCGGGCAGGGACAATTGTGGCAAAAGAGACGGGTAATTTGGACATTTCCCTCCTAAAGTTAACACTCCAAAAAAATGAAAAAAAATCCAAATGGGAAGATTTTCCCCGGACGGAGGGAGTATTAATATATAATTAACTATATATACTCTTGTCTTTGGACTATTGAAGGCATGCATGAATGAAAAGTAATTAAGGAGTAGTTAGTAGCTCATTATTCTTCCGTAACCCTAGCCGCCGTCCCTTTCATTCTCTACGAACGTCCTTCGTCCCTCTCAGCCGGCGAAGGGAGAGCTAGCCTTGTGGGTGCTCTTAACAAAGTTAAATATTTAAATTGAAAATTGAAGTATATGTTAAAAATTTTATTTCATTTTTTGTTTCAACAACAAATATTTTTTATTTTTTAAAACTTTTTTAAAGATATAGTTTTGACTTTTGAAAAATAACTTTTCATTATTTCAAACACAAACACTTTTCTTCTCTTTATAAAAAGGAAAAGAAAAAAGAAAATAACAATAAAGATAAAAGGAGAAGGGGCATTGGTGCCCATTTCCAAAACCACAAGGGGTAACAGAATTATTTAGGGGTGGGCGCGGTCCGTGATGGTCCGTGATACTACCGGAACCTATCACGGACCGCTCTTATTTAAACGGTTCGGTATCGGTACGGGATGAACTGCAAAACCATTCGGTACCATTCCGTTTTGAAACGGAACGGTACAATACCATACCCATGCTCAAACCGTGCCAAAAAAATGAATGTACATTAGTTAAAAAATATTGAATTTAACGTATAAGTTTGTATAAAAAAGTACAAGTTTGTTAAATAAAAGTATTGATTTCAAATTTAAACGGATCATAAACATAATAAATAAAAGATAACGAGTCGAAAGTTAAAAAATAATTTTTTTCCCAATTCATATAATATTGGAATACTAATAACTATTTAAAAAATAATTCTAATAGTAATGATAAAGTAAATAGCGAACTTATAACTTTCGAGAGAGTTTAAAATATGAAGTAATTCCAATATTATATGAATTGGGAAAAAAATTCTAATAGTAATAATAGTAATAATAAAATGAATACTATTAATTCTAATAGTAATAATAATGAGAGAGTTTAAAAATGAATAATAAAATATGAAGTATTCTATATAAGGTAAGATGAAGTAGACAAATACTCCATAATTATTTGAGATACACACTCCGTATATAGCGTTGGACGGTTCGGTCCGTGATAATCAGTTTTAAATATATGCATCACAGTCCCGTCCCATTTGGTATCGGTTTGGTTTCGGTTCGTGATGAAAAAAATCAATCCTGTTTGAAAACACTATAAACGGTTCGGTACCATTACGGTCCGATATGGTACCATGTTAGTTCGGTTTTTTTGCCACCCCTAGAATTATTCATTTATTAATACTTGAAGGGTATTTTTGTCTTAAGTGGCATTGGCATAGCAATATCAGAATCATGATGGGGAACAACATAAGTTTTGAAACCATGGGGGTAATGATGCACATTTACCAAACCACATGGAGTATCAGTGCAATAAAATCATAAATAAAACTTATATGGAGAATATTACTTTTTCCGTCTTGCAAAACATTTCTTATTTTGACTTTTGAGATAGAAAGCTGTAAAAATTTGACCAATGTAGAATACCAACAATTAAAATGAATTGGACTCAAAAAATATCAAAATGAGTATGGCGTAGAAGGTAATTGAGGTAGCTTCAATCAGATTTAAGAAAACTAATGACATTTCCATTTAGACCAAATTGAAATATTTTCAGAAACATGTAAGATATGAAAGTTAAAAATTTTTAAGAGAGATATAAAAGTACTACTTTAAATGTTTTAGAAAACAGATTGTGACAAGATATGTTATTTTATAAAGTGATCAATGTAAATAGATAAAAAAAAATGAACATAAATTGATCATGTGAGCAATACAGTAAAACATTATTGTGGGACGGAGGCATAAATCTTTAGCGGGTGTAGAAAATAGTAATGGAAAAAATATTTTTGTGTTAAATTGTCTTTTGAATACAAAGACACATCCTTCTTTACATAGGAAGACGGAATATCAAATAAGTAAACTTCTATTCATACCATAATTTTATTTCTTCCATAAAAAGAAATACTACCAAAAGAAAGGAATCAACAAACAACAACAATAATAACGGCCCTCTTCTTTTAACAAAAAGAAGGGGTGTCATATTAGGAAAACAATGGTCTACGGTGCTCCGTTCAAAAAATTTATGGTTTTACCACCCCTTTTTTCTTCCTGTCACCCCACCCCCCGAATTATGATGTGTGCCTTTTATTATTATTATTATTATTATTATTATTATTATTATTATAATTATCATTATTATGTAGCATTACACCAATACAAAATGTTGGTGCATCTCAACGGTGTACAAAATGAAGTAGAAATTCTTGAGGTACCGAGAGGTACCGTAGGTGAGATAGTAGGAAGTTAATTGCATGGAAGAGTCAAAAGATGGAAGAGGCTGCAGGTTGACATTGTCCCATAATAGTGTTGATTGCTCCGAAACAATGCACTCCCAACTGAACTACTATAAGTGACGAAGTATGCATGTCAATATAAGGATATTTACTCGATCAACTAACTCGTCACGAATCACGATCACTTTCATTATATTTCTCTTGAACATCCTCACCCTAGCTACAACCACTATATATATCTTCTCTTATGTAACCCAAAATCTCAACCACTTTCATGTACAACCTTGTTTCGTAATTCAAAGATCATTTTGACTCTAAACACAATACAAACACACACACACAAAGAGTAAAGTTCCATCTGTGCATGTTTGTATTGTGTTTGAAGTCAAAATGGTGTCTTTATTATTGTTGAGATCACACGTGTCTTCACCTCAACCCCGCATTAATATGATATTATCCGTTCTGAGTCAAGTCCTCACAAATTAATTTTTAAGCATCTACTAAAAGGCCTCATACAATCATACTAATGGGTTGAGTAACCATATATATTATGGTCACTTTCTCCTCTTCTTCCAGGGTGGGAGGACTTTGCTACCCAACAATTACTAATGTTCACGCAAGAGGATTTTTAAGAAAATTCTCGTTAAAACATATATATGCGCGCCCTTGATTCAATTCTTTCTCTTACAACTTTTTTTATTTTGCGGTTTAACATGACCAATGAACTTGAAATCAACAACGCATTTGGTTGAAGAAGATGATGTATTTGGTTGAAAAAGATGATGTTTAGTTTACAACAATGGTTTTTCCTGGTTGTCAAGGTATAACACAAAGTAGTGACAAAAGTTAGGAAGTAATTTTTGAACTCAAACCTTATTAAAAGGATTTAGACTATGTTTCGTTCGTCCGATCATTTCTAATTTTTTAAAGATTTGATAAGATCTTATCGGATAGCTGTTAAAATTAAAGCTATCTCTGATCTAATCTGATTATAATAAGAATAAGTAATAAGTAAAAAAAATAAGTTAGAACTCAAATAGACAATGTAGCCGTGTTACTTTTTTTTTTCACCTTTTAAAGAGTGTCCAAACACCGTTGCAATACTTAATTCTCATAATTCGCCTCTCCTCTCCCAAACCTGACCTGTCTGCCTGCCGCACACATATTTATAAATCGTCTCTGCATTCAAGATGTGGAATCCCATCCCTCTCTCATTCCCAATGGACCGCCTATTCGGTGCCCATTAAATTTACTTTCTTGGTCAACGGGCTGATACGCCTCCCTTCGACCCATCCCTGTCTCGACACCCCATTTAAATGCTCCAAGAATCAGTGCTCTGTTTGGTTTAGCTGTGAAGCTCTGATCAGAAATGGCGATTTCAAAACCAGTCTTGTTCCCAATGGTCTCTGTGCTGTTAGTAGTAGTACTGGTGTCTTCATCTCGACTTGTTGTTTGCCAGGACACTCTCAGGATTCTCCTGGAGGTGAAAACATCATTCCTGGAAGACTCCGAGGGAGTGTTCCGGGACGGCTGGTCCGAGACGACCCCGAACTACTGCGCGTGGCGGGGCGTCTCGTGTGCCGGCCGCCATTCCTTTAGAGTGGCGAGCCTGAACCTTTCGGGCTCGTCGCTCGTCGGGTCCCTCTCCCCGGCGCTCGGTCTCCTGCCTGACCTCATCCACATTGATCTTTCTTCCAACCACCTCTCCGGCCCCATTCCACCAACTCTGGCCAACCTTTCCTCCCTGGAGTCGTTGCTTCTCTACTCTAACCGCCTCGTGGGCCCCATCCCTCCCGAACTCGGGCAGCTGACCAATCTCCGAGTTCTCCGGGTAGGCGACAATCCTGGCCTCACCGGTCCGATTCCCGCTTCGTTTGGAAACCTGGGGAATCTTGTCACACTTGGACTGGCCTCATGTAACCTCAGCGGCCTCATTCCCCCCGAACTTGGGAAGTTGAAGCCGCTTCAGAACCTGAACCTCCAGCAGAATCGGCTGGAAGGGCCGATTCCGCCGGAGATTGCCAGTATCTCCGGCCTCACGGCTTTCAGCGCTGCCATGAACCGGCTCAACGGACCGGTTCCGGCCGCATTGGCAGCGCTGAAGAACCTCCAGATACTCAATCTGGCAAATAACACCCTCACAGGTGAGATTCCCCGAGAACTGGGGGAAATGAGCGGTTTGACGTATCTTAACCTGCTTGGCAATCGGCTTAACGGTTCAATCCCGAAATCCCTGGGGAAGTTGAGAAGTCTTCAGAGCCTAGACTTGTCCGGGAACCGGCTCGTGGGTGGAATCCCGGGCGAATTGGGCGGTTTGAGCCAGCTCGAATTCTTGGTTCTCGCAGGCAACAATCTCTCCCGGGAGATACCCAACACCATCTGCTCCAATGCCACTGCTCTGAAACACTTGATGCTCTCACAAACTCAGATATCCGGCGAGATCCCGCCGGAGTTTGGCCAATGCAGGGCGCTCCGGCTGCTTGATTTATCCAACAATTCGGTCGGCGGGTCGATACCCGAAGAGCTATACGAGCTCACTGAACTGACTGATCTCGTTCTGAACAACAACAGTTTGACCGGCGTGATTTCCCCACGCATAGCGAACCTAACCAATCTCCGGACACTGGCACTGTATCACAACAATTTGCATGGCGAGTTACCCGGAGAAATCGGAGTGCTTCCCAGTCTCCAGTTTCTATTTCTCTACGAGAATCTCCTCTCCGGAGAGATCCCGGCGGAGATCGGAAACTGTTCCAGCTTGCAATTCCTGGACTTGTATCGGAATTCGTTCACGGGGAAAATTCCGGGTACCATTGGGAGGCTAAAGCAGCTGAAATTCCTACACCTCAGGGAGAATGATCTCTCCGGTGAGATTCCGGCCAGCTTGGGAAACTGCCGCCGGCTTGACACTCTTGACTTGGCCGATAACCGCCTTTCCGGCGGCCTTCCGGCGACTTTTGGAAACCTCGGAGCGCTGACAGTGCTGATGCTTTACAACAATTCTCTTGAAGGGAAAGTCCCCGGAGAAATGAGGAGTCTTGCAAACCTCACAAGAATCAATATTTCCGGGAACAACTTGACTGGCAGTATAGCTCCTCTCTGCAGCTCACATTCTTTCCTATCATTTGATGTTGCCAACAATGCATTTGATCAAGAAATCCCCTCCCTTCTGGGGAATTCACCCTTTCTTGACAGGTTAAGGTTGGGGGGCAACAGATTCACAGGAAACATCCCGTGGGCTCTGGGATTTCTCCGTGAATTGTCGCTTTTAGATGTCTCGGGTAATAGAATTAGTGGTTTTATTCCTCCACAGCTCTCGCTTTGCCGTAAGCTCACCCATCTTGATCTCAATAACAATCTTCTTTCTGGACCAATTCCCACTTGGCTTGGGAGTTTGCCTCTCTTGGGTGAGCTTAAGCTCTCTTCCAATCGGTTTTCGGGTCCTCTTCCTCTAGAGTTATTCAACTGCTCAGTGCTTCTAGTATTGTCTTTGGAAAGCAACTCATTGGATGGAATTCTTGCACCGGAAATCGGAAACTTGAACTCCCTCAATGTACTAAATCTGGATGGTAACCGGTTTTCGGGTTCAATACCATCTACAATTGGTGGGTTGAGCAAGCTCTATGAACTCAGGCTTTCGCGAAACCGCTTTTCTGGTGAAATCCCCAGAGAGGTTGGCCAGCTCAAGAATCTTCAGAGCATCCTAGATTTGAGTTACAACAATCTGAGGGGAAACATCCCTCCATCTATCGGGTCCCTCTCCAAGCTCGAAGAACTTGACCTGTCTCATAATGATCTCACAGGGGAGATTCCCTCTCAAGTTGCCGGAATGAGCAGTTTGGGAAGACTGAACCTTTCTTACAACAAACTTCAAGGGAAACTGGACAAGCGATACGCACAATGGCCAGCGGAGTCATTCCTTGGAAACCCACAACTCTGTGGGAGTCCTCTGGGGAACTGCAGAGATTCACGCATACGTAACACAGCAGTGGTGATCTCATCCTTATTGGCCACCCTTGCAATTATTCTACTCTTACTGGGAGCAGCCCTCTTCTTCAAACACAACAGGGAAGCATTCAAGAGTAAAGAATCAAACTGTGCCTCTTCTACTGGTTCATCATCTTCCCAAGCACAGAAGAGGCCATTATTTGCAAATGCTGCTGCCAAGAAGAGAGATATCAGATGGGATGATATCATGGAAGCCACAAACAACCTAAGCGACGAGTTCATCATAGGCTCCGGGGGATCAGGAACTGTTTACAAAGCCGAGCTGTTCAACGGAGAAACAGTGGCAATCAAGAGAATACTGAGGAACGATGACCTCTTCCTGGACAAGAGTTTCGCCAGAGAGTTAAAGACGCTTTGGAGGATAAGGCATAGGCATCTGGTGAGATTGATGGGATATTGTACCAACAAAGGGAAGGGTTCGAATTTGTTGATTTACGAGTATATGGAGAACGGAAGCCTGTGGGATTGGCTGCATAGTAAGAGCAAGATCAAGAAGAAGAGTGTTCTTGACTGGGAAACACGGCTGAAGATCGCTATGGGATTAGCCCAAGGTGTCGAATACCTTCACCATGACTGTGTGCCTAAGATCATCCACAGAGATATCAAATCAAGCAACATTCTTCTAGACTCAAACATGGAAGCTCATCTAGGGGACTTCGGATTAGCCAAGGCGGTTATGGATAACTATGACTCCCTAAACACGGAATCAAACTCGTTGTTTGCTGGCTCCTACGGCTACATGGCACCAGGTATGGATGAAAACCATCCTCTAGACATTTATTTAAAACATGCATTTCAATTCACTTGTGGATTGACAAACTTCTCTCTTGTGTTTTTCCAGAGTACGCTTATTCGTTGAAAGCCACAGAGAAGATCGACGTTTACAGCATGGGGATTGTGCTGATGGAGATTGTGAGCGGGAGGATGCCAACCGATGGGAGTTTTGGGGAACACGTGGACATGGTGAGATGGGTCGAGTCGGGGATGGATGGTCATGTATCGGCCCGCGATGAGCTTATTGACCCGGAGCTGAAACCATTATTGTTGCCCAATGAAGAAGCTTCTGCGTTCCAAGTGCTAGAGATTGCGCTGCGGTGCACGAGAACTGCACCTGCCGAGAGGCTGTCGTCGCGCCATGTCGGTGATCTGTTGAGGCATATTTCTAAAGACAATGTTGGCCTTCATTTTGTGAAGCCAAGAAGCACGGATCCTTAAGGTAGGACGTAGTAGCCTCTGAAACAATTTGTGTAGCGTTTAAGCCTAGTAGTATTATTATGGCTCAACAAATAATTTAGAATGTTTTTATGTTTTCTTTCGTTGGTTAGAACTAAGCAGAGATTGAGTGAAATATATTCTGCAAGCCACGTACAAACGGTACAATGGCCTTAATCAAGTTGACAAACTACACCATAACCCATATCTCATCATTTTCTACACAAGATCTAACATACTGTAAATAAAATAACTTTTAATTGGATAGAATTTCCTTCTTCCCGTTAGTTTTTTTTGAAATGCCTTCTTCCCGTTAGATAATACTATTAGAAATATTTACACTAAATATCACTAAAATTTAAGTCATTTCCCTAAATTATACTCAAATTGTTTTATTCTCTAAATAGCATATAATAATGTCCAGAAGGAAAAATAATGACCAGTGATGACGAACATTTACTTGAATAATGACTAATGAATAATGACTAAAAGTGTTACATTGGAAAAAAACATATATGATGCTATTTAAGGAAAATCATTATATTTTAGTGCTATTTAGGTAAATTCTCCATACTATTATTGTTGTTAGTTTCCATGTTTTCTTATTACCCTATTTTGGGACTTTTAAAAAAAATATCTTCCAATTTCTTAACATACTTATTATTACGAGACGGTTTTGATACAGGTCGTCAGGAGGACTCAAACCATATGGCATCATCAGTTGCAAAGGGACAGCCAAGGCGAACTATCATTCGAGAGTTTCTTTTCATTTCTTTATCTCGATGTTTTTCTTCAATCGACAGGTTTAGGTTTTTATTCTTTGGTTAAGAGCACCTCTATTTCTTAAATATAAATCCATCCATCCAATAGTTCTCTCACATCTACATCATTTCCACATCATTAATCTTTAAATCCTTTATTTTTTAAACAAACATTCACAACCCACCTCATCCATCAATGGATTCATTCAATTATTTATGGCTCTAACCTTACTTTATTTTATTCATTAATTTTAAATAATCATACTCCGTATTATATTTTAAAATAATATTAATTTTTATTATATCATAATAGATGAAAACAATTACAAAAAAAATATTAAAATAAATAAATTTATATTTAGAAGAGTAAAATTAGAGAAGAAAATTATAAAAATATTTTAATTAAATAAAATATTTTAATATTCTAAAAAAATTCAATATTTTATTTAAATAAAATATTTAGGTATTTTGAAATTAAGTATAAATTTAATATTTTAAATAAATGTAATAAATATATTATAACTATTTCCTTCTCTTTATTATATTATAAAATAATATTAATTTTTTTCATAACATAATTTATGAATAAAAAATTAGAAAAAGATATTAAATTAAATATCTAGAATTTCAATGAATTTATATTTAGAATAAATAAATTAGATAAGAAAATTGCAATAATTTAATACATATAAATATCAATGTAATAACACTAATTTTTTTAAATAAAACTAATCTTTCAAAGATAGAAAAAAATGAGTAATTAAATAATAAAAAATAGATCAATAAAATTGATCTATTTTATTGATTCCTCGCTGGGTTCGATTGTTCGATCCTTACCCAACGATATAACTTTTATAATCCAACAACACGCATTTACAAGTTCCACCTGACCCGTCTTAATTCTTTCGATTACTTAGTACCGATTAGTCTTTTAATTTAAACTTTTACAAATATAGTCGGATTAGTCACGCTCTATTGAGACGAATAGAATTTCCAAAGTATCTTCTAATTCCTTAAAAGAATATAGTGTCATAAATAAATATTCTTATATATATTTTATTAGCGAATGACCAATTTTTAAGGCGTTATGTAGTGTTGAAAGTTACTAGAATGCTGATGTAGAAGACAATATAATGGGGCCAGAGTTTGCTCTATTGTAAATGCTCTAATAAATGAGCAAAGATGTCAAGTTTCAAAATAAAATTTCAAATATATTTTACCTTCAATATATGATCGTTTACAAATTTTTTCTTAATCTACTTATTGAAGAATTATGATTTTCATTAATCAAAAGAGTTGTGATTACATGTATATATATAAGAGGAGTCTCAATCCCAATCAAGGTAGGAGAGACACAAGTAAGGAAACCTATACAAATAAGGTAAGGGAATAATACAATATATTAAATATATACAATATATTTAACATGCTCCCGGCTACGTCGGATGTGGAGGAGGTCTGATTCCCAAGCTTTGTCTGAAGTCCAGAAATAATAAAGAAGGCAGTCCCTTAGTGAAGATGTCAGCATACTGCGA